CACCACAAAGAGTAGTGATTTGTGGAATACAGATGAATGTTATAGCATATACCTAAGTAAAAATAAAGGAATAAAGGCCAGCAGTGTGGCATAGTGGGTTAAACAGCCACCTGCAATGCCAACATCCATATGAGTACCAGTTTGAATCCTGGCTGCTCCACTTTCTATCCAACTTCCTACTAATGCACTTCAGAAAGCAACAGAAGATGATCCAAGTGTTTGGGCCCCTGCAATCCATGTTGGAGACCACGATGGATTCCCAGGTTCCTAGCTTTGGTCTGGCCCAACCCCAGCCAATGTGGCCATTTGGGGAGTGGGCCTGTGGAAGAAAGATCTCTCTCTTTCTCTCTCTCTCTCTCCCCACCCCTGTAAATTTGCCTTTCAGATAAATAAATTATCTATATTTTAAAGGTTTATTTATTTATTTGAAAGGCAGAGTTAAAGAGAGGCAGAGGCAGAGAGAGAGAGAGAGAGAGAGAGAGAGAGGTCTTCCATCTGCTGATTCACACCCCAGATGTCAGCAATGGCTGGAGCTGCACCAATCCAAAGCCAGGATCCAGGAGCTTCTTCCAGGTCTCCCACGTGAGCACGGGGCCCAAGGACCTGGGCCATCTTCCACTGCTTTCCCAGGCCATAGCAGAGAGCTGGATCAGAAGTGGAGCAGCTGGGACTTGAACTGGTGCCCATATGGGATGCTGGCACTGCAGGCAGCCGCTTTACCCGCTATGCCACAACACTGGCCCCCTAAATAAATATTTTTAAAAATAAAGGAATAAATAAAATGCATGCTCTAGAAGATAAATCTACAAATATATAAATGAATACACAAAGGCATTTCAATGTATAATATAAAAAAGAAAAAATGTAAACATACATATATTATGTAACAAAGTAAATTGATAGAGTGCATAAAAGGAGATATATATGCATATTGTGACTATATTCATCTCAATAATAACAATATTGTCTAGGGGTAGAGGAAGTATAGGTGATTTCTATCTTCTTTGTATGCTTTCTGCATTTCCCGATAGTTTCTAGTAGAAATATACAGCTTCCACAACTAGAGAAAAAGTGAAAATACTTGTAGTATAAGACTTTAAGGCATTAAGACAGTAAGGCATTCCCCTGGAGAATATCAAAGTCTTTCCTGTCCCCTTCACCACACTTTCTCTCCTTCCCCGTCTCCTTTGTTGTGTTCAACCTGCAATTCTGGCTCTGGTCACCAGATGGCACTTATCTACGTGAGGGTATTTCAAAAAGGTCATGGAATATGGAATAAAAAGATGTTTATTTTGGTGTAAAAAAGTTTAAAATCCATGCAAATGAGAAGTAGTCAAATAATTCATGGAAATATATATTATTAAAAACTATGCATGTTTTTCAAAATATTCTAAATATCTTTTATAAGTATTGTAAGTATTCCAAATATTTCAAACAAGTATTGTCTCAGTGAAGAGAAGGTTTAAAGAAAAAGCTCAGTTTTTAAAACAATGTATTTATTTATTTGAAAGAGTTACAGAGAAGATATATATATATATATATGGAGAGAGAGAGAGAGAGAGAGAGAGAAAGAGAATCTTTTCACCCCCAGGTTAATTCCCCCAAACAACCACAACAGCCAGGGATAGGCCAGGCCAAAGGCCAAAGCCTGAAGCCTGAAGTTTCATCTGAGTCTTGCATGTGGGTACAATTGGGCAGACCCACCCTGAGAGGAGTATGGCTTGGGTGAGCTCTTCCACATCCTGCCTGAGCATCACCCCCTCTGAGCGCCAGGGGGACGGATTTATTCTGCCTTGTGAAATGGGCACAGTGATTCCTGGAATCTTATCTCATGCCAACTGGAATTCCAGCACAGCCAGCACTCACCAGTCTTCCATAACCTTGAAGAATGGTCTGGAGGCATGAAGATATTCTCAAATGGCATCATCCAGTGAAAAAATAGCAACAAAGCCAAGGGCACAGGGCTTGCCCAACTGCCTTGTAAGATAATTACAAAAGGAAAACTTTGCATTTATTTTTGATGCCACATTGGAACTCACATTGAAAGAAAGAAATGCAAGGCATTGAGTAATATCAGTCATGGAAAAGACATCTTGCTTCTAAGTCATCTCAGCTTTTCACTTTGTGTATAATTTTGCTTTGATGCAAGAAATCTGTCACATTTTATGTTATAAATTTCATGAGACTGTCTTTAGTTTGTTACATAAAAATACGCTTGAAGAAGCCTTTCAACTTTTAAGTCTGATGCAGTTATCTGTATTTTCTTCTATTTACGTTATATTTATTATTAAGAAAATCAGGAGTGTATAGCAGTGGCTCTCCAACTTTGATTTGCTAATTTACAGAAAAGTAAAATTTAGGGGCCAGCACTGTGGCATAGTGGGTTAAGCCTCTGCCTGCAGTGCCGGCATCCCATTGGACGCTGGTTCTAGTTGCTGCTGCTTGTCTTCTGATCCAACTCCCCACTGATGGCCTGGGAAAGCAGTGGAAGATGGGGGCCCCTGAACCCACGTGGGGGACCTGGAAGAAGCTCCTGGCTCCTGGCTTAGGTCTGGTCCAGCCCTGGCCATTACGGCCACTCTCTCTGTGTCTCTCCCTCTCTCTGTAGCTCTGCCTCTTAAATAAATAAATAAATAAAATCTAAAAAAAAAATAGGGGAAGCATTTTAAGATATTGGTGTAGGCAATGATCTTTAAAAAAAGGAAAGTAGATTTAGAGGGTCTGGGGTGGGGCCCAGGTTTCCATATTTTTGATAAGAGAAACACTGACATATCAAAAATTTAAATAATTTTAATATTGAATTTGGAGAATGAATCCCTCCCTGTGCTCCCTCTGGAATTGCAAATCATAGTTCAACAGAAGTAAATATTTACTAAGGCTTACATAGTCAATGAAACAGAAACTCAAGAGTTCATGACAGCTCACAATTTAAAAAAAAAATTAAGTACTATCTATGTTTCCAGCACTAGCAGGATCAGTAAAACATAATCTTAGAATTTTAAAAGACAGTTTGAGGCTGGCATTGTGGTAAAGCTGCTGCCTGCAATGCCGGCATCCCAGATGGGTGCCCGTTCGAGTTCCAGCTACTCCACTTTTGATCCAGCTCCCTGCTAATGGCCTGGGAAAGCAGTGGAAGATGGCCCAAGTACTTGGAGCCCTGCCACCCACGTGGGAGATTGGAAGAAGCTCCAGATTCCTGGCTTCAGCCTGGCCCAGTCTTGGCCATTGTAGCCATCTAGGGAGTGAACCAGTAGATGGAAGACCTCTCTCTCTCTCTCTGTCTCTCCCTCTCTCTGTAAATCTGACTTTCAAAAATGAATAAATATTTTGAAAAAAGTTTAATAGAGAAATCATGTATGGTATACTTATATATGTATATACTTATATATGGTATACTTATATATATACTTATATATGTCTCCCTCTGTATATAATATTTTAATAACTTACTTTTGCATGTTTCTGGTTGGTATCAAGTAGTGTAAATGAGGAATGTCCTAGTTTGGACCTCAGCTTTATTCACCTCCTTAATTTATACAAGTCACCTGAATTGTAAGGCAAGCCTGCAGAAGCTCCCAACAGAGAAGTTACCTAGGCAAGTCAGGCAATTAAAATAGTTATCTTTGGGTTTGGAAGAAGGTTTTTTTTTAATATTTATTTATTTATTTATTTGAAAGTCAGAGTTACACAGAGAGAGGAGAGGAGATGAGAGGGAGGGAGGGAGGGAGAGAGAGAGAGAGAAAAATCATTCATTCGATGGCTTACTCCCCAATTGGCTGCAATGGCCAGAGTTACGCCAATTCAAAGCCAGGAGCCAGGAGCTTCTTCCAGGTCTCCCACACGGTTGCAGGGACCCAAGGACTTGGGCCATCTTCTATTGCTTTCCCAGGCCATAGCAGAGAGCTGGATGGGAAGTGGAGCAGCCGGGACTCAAACCAGCGCCCATATGGGATGCTGGCGCTTCAGGCCAGGGCATTAACCCGCTGCGCCACAGCGCCAGCCAGAAGAAGGGCTTTTTTAAACAAAATTTTATTTGCCAGGCAGAGTTGGGGGGGAGGCAGAGAGAGAGAGAGAGAGAGATCTTCCACCTGATGGTTCACTCCCCAGATGGCTGCTATGTCCCAGGATGGGTTGAGAGCCAGGAGCTTCTTTGGGGTTTCCCACGTGGGTGCAGGGGCCCAAGCACTTTGGCCATCTTCTGCTGCTTTCCAAGGCCGTTAGCAGGGTGCTGGATTGGAAGTGGAGCAGCCAGGACTCAACTGGGTGTCCATAAGGCAAGCCGGCATCACAGGCAGCGGCTCTACCCGTTACGTTGCAATGCTACCCCCGAGAAGGAGCTTTCGATTCTGAGTACATAACAAGGTGTCTAGTCACAAAACTGTCTCCTGGCCCAGGTCTCACTGAACTCCTAAGTTCAGTGGAGAAAAGGGAGGACTTAAGGGAAAGAAACGGAAAGGACTATGTTTCTAAGTGTTGTTTAGAGACATAGAGGTCTAAGCAGCAATGGCACGGTCGGTGCCTGGCTGGATAACTATAGTATTAAAGCTGTAAGGGGGACATTTACTGTATATCTGTAGAGACCCAGTTCAACGGTGGCCCATCACACAGTGCAGAACAGTGAGGCTTCACACCTCGAGGACTGCAGCACGTCCCCAGTGACCAGGGCCAGTGAGAGGAGCAGCTGGGTCTAGCAGGTGTGGCTAGATCTGAGTACAGCAGGGCAGGACCAGAATGTGGCTCTGGTCTGGAATGTCACCACGGGAACGGTTGCTAAACACAAGTGAGATCTCCTTGGGTATGATCCCCTAAGTTTGTACAGAATGTATAGGGGTTGGGGTCCTGCATGTGTAGATGGCAGAATAAAAGACAGTTCACACATTTTTTTCAAATCTCATTTGTTTCTGCAGCAGCACTATAAGGAAGGTATTAGATGGAAGAAATATATTAATGTTTTGGTTTATATTTTTGACTAAGAGAGTCAGAGAAAACATAGCATTCACTTTTGCTCTTTTAAAATTCCAACAAGTATTTATTAAGTGCCACATTGTCATTATGAGCTGATTAGGTAATTTTCAAAATAGCTTCACTTTTCATTATACTGGTTTTTCTTTTTCTGTGACACAAGCAGAATGTGTTCATTTGGAAAAAAAATGAGATTCAGATAGATCAACACATTTAAAAATTAAAATCACTTATCTCACCACACAGATGGCCATGGTAAGCTTTTGAAGTCCATACTTTTCATTTTCTCTTTGCATATTAATATATAAATATACAGGACTTTTTTACAAAAATGGATATTATATATAACTCTTGAAAATTGCTTTTTTCACTTCACAATATGTCATGTACATCTTTCCATGCAAATAGATGGAGCTCAGATCTCAGGGAGGAAAAAAAAAAGCAACAACAATTTTATGCCAGTTAGGAGCCAAGCACCTAAATTAAAGCTGCGTCAAAAAAGAAAAAAAAGTTAAAATTAGGAAGATGGGGAAAAAGACATGTAAGAAAATGCAGACAGAAAGTTCCGGTGGCAACACTGTTTCCAGGCAAAACAGAATTAAAGACAGAATACATTAAATTGGATAAGGACGGCTGCGTTTCGCCTTCCAATGCATTATCATCAGTTTGTTTCTCACTCTTTTCATCTCTTCCATCTCATCGGCTGCTTGTATCATCTCCTCATTGCTTAAGTTTCTGCCATGAATGTCCCCTCTAAACTGCGGGCGAGAGCGGGCCAGCCTTTCTTTGAAACTTCCCTCTTCGAGCTTATGTTTGCCTACTCCACAAGGAGGCTGCTCCATGGGAGGGCGCTCCTCAAACAGGTCCTTGCTGGAAAGGCGTTCCTGCCGGGGGCGCTCCGCACACAACAGCATCTCGGGCAGGAGCTCGGGCAGCAGCTCCTCGGGGAAGAACTCCTCCTCCGAGGATTGCTCCTCCGAAGAGGGCTCCTCCTCAGGCCCCTGCTTCTCGGGAGCTTGCTCCACTGGAGGCTCCTCCTCGTCGGGCCTCGGCGCGCTCCGCGGCTGTTCTTCATTTTCTTGGCATGGATTTTCCATGCTGAGAATATTCTGATCCGAGCGGTTATTCTTAGGAGACAAGCAAAGCAGGGCAGTGTCAGGATCCTTGGGGCAGCAGCAACACCCCAGCCAGGGCTGCAATACCGGCCTCGCCCTGACTGGGGGCCAGGTCCTCACACGCGCGCTTCTCGGCCGCCCTTCCTTCCCGCAAGCCCACCATTTTCCCAGCAGGCCTTGCCACAGGCCGCTCCCGCAGTGAGAGGGGCGGGACAGCGGGGACCTCAGAGGCCGTTGCGTTTGGCGATCGCCCTGGCGCCCTGGCGCCCTGGCACCGCGGCCCCGGCCCGCTGCCCAGCCCTTCACGGACATGGACCTTTCAGGGACGTATGCTCCTAGACGCACCCTCCTCGAGGTGCCCCCTCAGTGCCCCGCAAACAGACGCCACACAGGGTTGGGGGCGGGGAGGAGGGACAGCCTGAGCGACACACACCCCCAGTTCTGGGCGCCAGCCGCCGCCCCCATGCCAGCCCCCTTCAGGCTCTCCTCCCCTCCCAGACACCCTCTATCCCGCTTCGTTCTCCGCGCCCCCACCTCACAAAGCTTGTCATTTTTTCTCGGGCGGGAAATGGAAGCAAGCGGTTACTTAGAAAACGATTTCCAAGGGTCTATACCTTCCTCCCAGGCGGGCTCTCCGTCACCTTCCTACCCCACCCCCTCAAGACCACCATTTTCTGCACCAAAATGTGGGCGCGGGGGCGGGGCTGGAGCAGAGGGAAGAGGCCTGGGCGCTGCCATCCCTAACTGATTCCGGGGATCCAAGGCAGCACCGACCGCCGATTGGAGAGGATCGAGAGAACTTACTTCCTTCTGCTTTCCCTCTCGACCAAAGGGTACTAAGACGGTGTCTGGACAGGCAGAAAGGACCAGGACGAGAGGGACTTGGCAGACACAGGCTCCTGGTCACGTGAGGGCCGCGCGTCACTGCCGAGCTCAGATCCCCCGTTACCACTTTGACCGGCGGCCGTGCACAGCAACCTGCTTGAATCTGACCCCAAACACACCCAGCATTGTCTCTCACCTCTCCGTGTGCGCCTTTTTCTGCTTGCCGGAGATGTCAGCACCTAGTATGGAAACTGCCTGCCTCTTCCTCTCTGCTGCTTCCCCGGATACCAGCTCTCTCCCCCACCCTCCCTTCCCCATCACGGCAGCCCCTGATTGCCCCTGCAGTTCAAATCCTGCACTGACATTTGACTTCCTGGCCGTCGCGAATCAATATCATCCCCTCCTATCCCAGCACTCCCGGTTTTCATCGACGTCTTTAACTCCATCGTTTCCATTTCGGATCTCTCGACACCTTTTCCGCTTTTGTCATTTTCATGGGAGAAACTCATTCACTTTTCTTTGACGTCAGTATTTTGTTTTTGTTTTTCAGCCCCCAGACCTATGTCACGAATAGAAACTCAAGGCTAAATTAATAGTCATTTAGTTGTAGACGCGTAGAAAAAGTTCAGTTTGTAAAGTATATAAATCTGAAAAAAATGATATTCATAAACCACAAATACATTTGTCCATGTATAAATAGTCCAGAAATCTTAGGTGTTATCCAAAATGAGAGACTCCTTGAGGAAAGCAAAGCATGGCATTTCTCTCTCTGGCTCTGTCATTCTCACTCTCGCTCTATCGATATAGACAGACATATGTATATATGTATGTATGTGTATGTATACAAATAAGTGTATATATATATAATGAATACTTTATATATACATTTATATACCATTATTCAATAGTTGCTATTCATAATAGAAGAAATAGATTTTATTAGGTCTCCAAAATCCTTATCCGGTCACTTCTTGGTACTTGTGGTTACGAAAGTTTATATTAATTCATTAAATCAACAAATATTTAGGTCCTAGAACTCCTGGCCTTCAAAAGATAGCTGCATGGGGCCAGCACTGTGGTGTAGTGGGTAAAGCCACCATCTGCACACTGGCATCCCATATGGGTGTCGGCTGAGTCCCAGCTGTTCCACTTCCCATCCAGCTCCCTGCTAATGTGCCTGGGAGGGCCAGGCCATAGCAGAGAGCTGGATGGGAAATGGAGCAGGTGCGATTAGAACTGGTACCCATATGAGATACCAGCAGCACAGGCAGTAACTTTTACCCACTATGCCACAGCCCTGGCCCCTATATTTTATATTTTGTAGCTTATACACAAGTATGTATTTATTTTTTACTAGGATGGTAGAAACACTGCACAAAATCAATTAACTATTTTTATTTCCACTTCTTTTTAAAAAATATTTATTTAATTATTTGACAGGCAGAGAGTTACAGAGAAAGAGAGCGAGAGACAGAGACAGAGAGAGGTCTTCCATTTGCTGGTTCACTTCCCAGATGGCTGCCATGGCTTGGGTTGGGCCAGTTCAAAGCCAGGAGCTTCTTCCAAGTCTCCCAAGTACATGCAGGGGCTCAAGAACTTGGGCCGTCTTCCACTGCTTTCCCAGGCACATTAGCAGGCAGCTGGATCAGATGTGGAGCAGCTGGGACTTGATCCGGCACCCATATGGGATGCTGGTTCTGCAGGCAATGCCCTTAATCTGCCACAACACTGGTCCCTTTATCTCGCTTCTTGATAATGTGCACACATGCACACTCTACAAACTCTCTACCTTTGTCTTGCTCGAGAGTAAAGAAGGACTGAAAAGAAAAGGAACTATGGGGTTTCTCTATCTTTCCTTTTCTTTGTCATCACTGTCAATGTAAGTAATTGGCAAATACAGGGCAGTCACAAATGGAGAAAGGATGTAATTCGACTTCATGGATCTTTGTTTCTTAGAACTCTGTGTCAGAAGTAAATTGTGAATGGAACCAAAAGGGTAGCCTTCCAGCTATCACCACCCAAACCCTGCCCCTTATTCATTGATAGAGGTAGCATGCTTACTTTCACTTTATTCAAAACTTGCTAAACTCTTAAACATCACAGGACCACTGTAATTCTATGATATATATGCAAATAGGGCAGCAAGAATGGTAGACACATGTATAGTCTAACTTCTCATCCTTTTCTGACACTATGCTGTCTTGAGCACTGAAGCTTTCTAGGAAGTCTCAAAATTAGGTATGAATATTATCAGTCTTCTGATACTGTTCTTTTACAAGATTGTTTTAAGGAGTTGGCATTGTGGAGCAGCAGGTTAGGTGGCCACCCACAATGCCAGCTTCCTATATCAGTGCTGGTTTGAGTCCTGGGTGCTCTACTTCCAACTGTAGGTCATACACACACACACACACACACACACACACACACTGTGGGATCCTTTTGTTTTTTTAAAGGTGTATTCATTTATTCGAAAGACAGAGTTACAGAGAGAGGGAAATCCAGAGAAAAAGGGAGATCTTCCATTACTGGTTCATTCCCCAGATGGCCACAACAGGTGGGCCAGGCCAGGCCAAAGCCAAGAGCCAGGAGCTTCATCTATGTCTCCTGTGGATGTCAGGGACCTAAGTACTTGGGCCATCTTCTACCATCTTCCTAGGCACATTAGCAGGAAGCTGGATCAGAAGCAGAGCAGCTGGGACACTAACTGGTGTTCATATGGGATGCCAGTGTTGCAGGCAGTAGCTTAACTCACTGTACCACAACACCAGCCCCAGTCAGCCAGGATCTTAATTGGAATTACTCAATCTACAGATGAACATAGGGAGAACTGCCACTTTGACAATAGTGAGTTCTCTGACATGTGAACATGGTACACTTCATTTCTAGGTCTCACATAATTACTGTCAGTGATGTGTTCAGTTTGCAAGTCTTCACATATTTCTTAAAATTTATCTCACATTATTTCACACTTTTTAAATTTTTTAAAAGATTTATTTGAAAGTCAGAGTTACAGAGAAGGAGAGACATAGGCAAGGAGAGAGAGAAAGAAAGAAAGAGAGAGAGAGAGAGAGAGAGAGAGAGAATCTTCCATCCACTGGAAGATCCCCAAATGGCTGCAGTGGCTGAAGCCAGGAGCTTCTTCCAGGTCTCTCACATAATGCAGGGGCCCAAGGACTTGGGCCATCTTCTACTGTTTTCCCAGGCCACAGCAGAGAGCTGGATCGGAAGTGGCACAACTGGGACTCGAATTGGTGCCCATATGGGCTGCCAGTGCTGCAGACTTTACCTGTCATACCACAGCGCCAGTCCCTATATTTAATTATTTTTAAATGATCTTTTGTCTTGGAATCATGTTAAATTTATTTAATAGTTGTAAAACTTTTTGTAGATTTTTAGTGTAGTCTATGTACATATTCATGGTTTTCTAGCAAAAAGGACAGTTTTATTTGTTTCTTTCCCATTTACATTACTTTTTTATACTAACTAGGATTTCTAACACAGTGTTGCATAGCACTGCTGAGAGCAGACAACCTGTCTAGTCCGTGATCATATCAGGAAAGCATTCACTCTTTTACTACAAGAATTTGCTGCAAAAATTCTTAACAGGGGCCAGCTCTGTGGTGTAGTGGGTAAAGTTTTAATTTCATTGTTTTTTTTTGTTGTTTTTTTTTTTTCCATATGGGCACCAGTTTGTGTCCTGGCTGCTGCACTTTCAATCCAGCTCTCTGCTATGGCTTGGGAAGGCAGTAGAAGATGGCCCAAGTCCTTGGGCCCCTACAGCCATGTGGGAGACTCAGAAGAAACTTCTGGCTCCTGGCTTCAGATCAGTCCAGCTCCAGCCATTGTAGCTATTTGGGGAGTGAACCAGTGGATGGAAGACCTCTCTGTCTCTCCCTCTCTCTGTCTGTAACTTTGCCTATCAAGTTAATAAATAAATCTTTAAAAAATTGTGTCTTTTAAGGAATTTGGCCATTGCACCTATGTTATCAAGTTTATTGTCCTAAACTTTGTCATAATATTCCTACACTGTCCTTTAAATGTTTGGAGAATCTGTAATGATGACTTTTTTATTCTTTTTTAAAAGAGCTTTATTAGGATATCATTCAAATAACATACTTTGGCTGTTGAAAGTATTTATTTCAGTGTATATTCACAGATATACAAAGGAGTCTTCAAAAAGTACATGGAAAAATGGAATTAAAAGATAAAAATATAAACATTATTTCTCAACACAAGCTCCCTCAAGTCCAAGATACTTTTATAAGCAATATATCAGCCAGTCCATCCCTAAAGAACTGAGGGTCCTGGGAACTTACTCATCTCAATGAAATCTTTTGTCCATTAGTAACTGAAGAAAAATGGGTGCCCTTTAAAGAATTTTTTAAAGACTAAGATACAAAAAGAAGTCAAAAGGAGCAAAATCAGGACTGTAAGGTGAATATCTGATTATTTTCCATCGAAACTCTTGCAAAATTGCCCTCGAGAGAAATGAGCAGGAACAGAAGTTTCTGGTGAATGTTTCCCAGGCATTTTTCTGCTGAAGGGTTGCTAAACTTTCTCTGAACACTCTCCTGATAAGCAGATATTATCATTCTTCGGCCCTCTAGCAAGTCGACAAGCAAAATGCTTTGCTAGTTCCCAAAAAACTGTTGCTATGAACTTTGCTCCTGCCAGGTCTGTTTTTGTCTTGACTGAACTATTTCTACCTCCTGGTAACAGTTGTTTGTGCTTTGTTCTCAAGATCATACTGGTAAAGTCAGGTTTATCTCCTGTTGCAATTCCTCAAAGAAATAGCTCAAGATCTTGATCCCCACTAGGTTAAAATTTCATCAAAATCTCTGCTCTTGTCTGCAGCTGACCTGGGTGGAACCGCTTTGGCACTCATTAAGTGGAATGTTTGTTCCACTTTAATTCAGTCCAGATGTTACCTACTGCAATGACTGCATTGCCTAGTTAAGTTTCTACCGGCACCCTAACATTGTTTCTGTTTTTTTTTTAATTTTATTTAATTATTCTTATGTATTTGAAATGAGAGAGAGAGAGAGAGAGAGAGAGAGAGAGAGAGAGAGAGAGAGAGATAGCTCCCATCCACTGGTCTCACTGGTCTACACCTCAAATGCCTGCAACAGCTAGGGCAGGGTCAGGCCAAAGCCAGGAGCTTAAAATGCAGGAGATGGCTTAACCTGCTGTATACAACACCCACTCCTAAAGTTTATTATTATTATTTTTAGATATTTTTCTTTCTTCATCTATTTTTGAAGGCTTGTTTAAAAGTTATATAGAGGGGCTGGCACTGTGATGCAGTGAGTTAAGCTGCCACCCGCAATGCCAGCATACCATATGAGCGTTAGTTTGAG